AATAACCATCAGTATCAAACGTACAATCAAATTATTTGTGGACATTTATGCTTAAAGTTTTTATATAATGGAGCCTACTAAAAGTACGAAACTGCTTATGGACCATATGTTTCGCAAAAAATATTTTACAGAATTCAGTGAAGAAGAACTAAAATACATACCGCTCGATTATCTTATACGAACTGTACGACCTTCAGAATTGTTAAGTATATGGCATAAATTGCCTGAAGACTATCGAGGAGAATTTAACTTGCAGATACTACTTCCCTGCTATGTACATTACAACAGACCTGATTGGAAGACTCACTGGGATGGTCCACCTGATTCTCAAGCTAAATGTCATTTATGTAAACTTGTTTTGGAACAAATAAAACTACTAAAGTAAATATTGTTTTTCTAATATAATAACCTATTACTAGATTGACGTGAGTCAGTCATCATGTCGCAGTTGTTGAGAGTAGACAGCACCAATTACATATTCTCATTTCAACCTCCCACACCGATCGTGTTGGATCCGAACAAAGATTATGAAATAGCTCTTCGTGCTTTCCATTCCTACAACAGTATACCAAACATTGAAAATAACAAGTTTTATTACTACGATGACACAAACCAATTACAACACTTTGATTTCCCCGATGGATGTTATGAAATTGCCGATATTGAAGAATATATACAAAAGAAATTGGGTGCTGATAATGTGCTTAAGCCTGAAACGATATTTAGTCTGAAACCTAACCACAACACGTTGCAATGTCAAATTTTCAGCAAATATAAGATTTCGTTTACGCACCCTGACAGTCTTGGTACAGTATTGGGATTTTCTCCTGCAATTCTCACTCCAGGACAGACACATTCTTCAGATCGACCTGTTAGGATTATTAAAGTATCTAGCATACGCTTTGAATGCAACATTAGTACCGGAGCCTTCGATGGTAACAGACCTGCTCACACGATCTACGAATTTGTCATACAATCAAATCCTGGGTACGCAATTGACGAAACTCCACACAATTTGTTGTATTTACCTGTTGTACCGCAACGAGAAATTACCAATATCACTGTGTTGGCTGTCGATCAAGACGGACGCCCTGTAAACTTTCGAGGAGAACAGAGCACCTTGGTGTTGGAACTTAGATCACGTGGGAAATGGGATTAGTAATAAGACAATCTACTGCCCATAGTACACCATTAGTTGTGCAGCCGTCTGAGCGACAACATCGTACGTCCTCATCTAAGCGGCAACATCTTACGTTTGCAAACAAATTGTTTTTACAATCACTTGGTTTTAAGCTGAAAAAATGACAACCATGTATGGAAAACGATCCCGTTCAAACAGCATAATGCCTCCAATATTTGATATTTATCGTAAGCCGATGTTTGACGAATCGATTCGAAAGGCCGAATACCGAACATATGCACCATTCATCAAATCATTCAACTGTAATGACATTGTAGAATTTAGCATCAATCAAGTTGACTCGTTTTTTGCAATGAGTGAAACCTTGTTATGCATTAAAGGATCGCTCGCAATAAACGGCAATGGTGAAGTCAAACTAGCAAATAATGTGGGTGCTTTTCTTTTCGATTCGTGTACGTACAGCGAAAGCGCAAGGGAGATGGAAACAGTGCGGGATCCTGGTATCGTAAGCGCTGTACGTGCTATGACATGTTATACTCAAGAAGATTCCAGTCATATGGCAATGGCGGGGTGGAATTACCCTAAGGATCCAATTCTACATGCTGCCGATCATTCATTCAACATACAGATGCCTCTTAAGCATGTTTTCAACATTTTCAATGATTATCCTATGATTACGTGTGGTCGTCAAACAATAAGACTAGTTCGAGCTCGAAATGACAACGATTGCATAATTGTCAAAGAAAAAACTCCAGGTCATGTTACAACTGTTAAGATTAACATTACCAATATTGAGCTTAGAGTCAAGCACATATTTCCCAATGATGATATTAAATTGGAACTTATGAAATCCATTCAACAAGATCAACCTATAGTTATTCCTTTTAGAAAGTGGGAATTGCATGAATTACCAGCACTTACCAAAGGCGCTAGACGTGAAGTTTGGGCTGTAAAAACTAGCAATGCAGTGGAAAGACCTCGTTATGTCATTGTTTTCTTTCAAACCAATAAACGTGACAAAAGCGACGCCGATCCCACCTTATTTGACAATATCCACATACAAAGTATCAGATTATCTTTAAATGGAGAATATTGGCCGAACGAGAGAATGCAGTTGGATTTTAGCAAAACTGACTACAATGAGGCCTATTTCAATTATACCGAATTCTATCCTAGCTACATACATTCTCAACAAAAGCGACCTCTGCTCGATTTCTCAGGTTTCGCACAACACACATTGTTCGTCATCGATTGTTCGAAGCAAGAAGAAAGCATGAAAGCATCCACTGTTGACGTAAAACTCGATATTGAAGCGAATACTGGTTTTCCCGAAAATACCAAGGCTTATTGCATTATAATTCACGACTGCGTAATGGAGTACTTCCCTCTCACTGAAATTGTAAAAAGTCTAAATTAGATGCATAACTTGTTAGTAGTACACGAGCAGTCATCATGAGAGTAGCATTCGTAGACATTCAGGGATTCGATGTGGACGGATGGTTTGTTCCCAAAGAACTTACCATTGAAATAGGATTTAAACGAAGTCATTACATCTTCTTGCCTCAGAAACCTTTTAATGCGCTAAGTAATGGGGATAAGAAGACTGCATCATACGTGGAGAAAAAACTGCTTGGAATTCGATACTCTGATGGACACGTAGAATTGTCCAAAATCAATGAAATACTAGAATCCAAGTTGTTGTATGCAGCAGATTACATATACGTTCGAGGAGAACAAAAAGCAGAATATTTGGATAAGAAACGTCACGTTTTTGGAGTTTTTCCCATTATTATTGATGTTTGCAAGTTTGATGGTACACCTCATGCTACTGGAAACGTTGGCCCTACTGCAAACCCATGTCATGCCTCTGGATTATTTTCATGCACCGAAAGAAATGTGGATCGTCTACGTCACTGGTTTGCCAATAACATAATGCCATTGTAATTTTATGTATAAATAAATAAATATATTAGAAATTAAACGCTTTTTTATTTATCACATCTTTATTGATCGAGTCTTATATTACAAGAAGATTCAAATTTTCTCCTTACAATTTCGAAAATAATTTTTAAAATTAGAATAAATACAGATGCTAATATTACACAAGACATTGCAAAGACATTGTCTATTTCACTTTTCATATGCTCGCTGGTGTTGTTGCTAACGTCCATGGTATTGGTTGAATACGTCTCAATGGATATGAAGCTGGTGGCAGTTTTCTGCAGGCGTAAATCCAGGTGTCTTGCTGTTGCTGCTGCTGCTGTAGATTCAACTCTTTTGGATTCCACGTTTTTTCCTCAATATGCAGGCTATCTAATTGTCTTTTAATTTGTTTTATATTCTCATATGATTTAATGTCTCTATTTAACTGATCAAGTTTACGTTGAAATTCCATAACCCTATGTATGTACTCGATGGAATTCATAGTACTACTGAATATGTCCTATGTTGAATGTCACGTTTTATGTCAAGCGATGTCTTGACTGACACATAACTGTTACGTCAAAACGTCTCACGTCACGTAATTCCTACATTTCACGTTCTGCGACAAATGTCACATATATGTCACGTCCTGCGTCGAATGTCACGTTATTCACGCAACATTTTCACGTTCTGCGTCAAATGTCACGTCATTTCACGTTCTGCGTCAAATGTCACATAAATGTCATGTCCTGCGTCGAATGTCACATAAATGTCACGTCCTGCGTCGAATGTCACGTCAATTCACGTGTCATTGTACGTTCTATGTCAAATGTCACATAAATGTCACGTCCTGCGTCAAATGTCACGTCCTACGTCGAATGTCACATCATTTCACGTGACATTTCACGTCCTGCGGCAAATGTCACATAAATGTCACGTCCTGCGTCGAATGTCACGTGACATCCAACGCTTTGACACCTCATACGTCAAAATCCGACCAATAGCAACGAAGATACGTTTTGACGCCCATTTGGCAACGCCGCCATCTTTGTTTTTTGTGTCAAAGTATTCCCCGTCTCATCCCCGTTCCATCGAGCCCTCGTACGCCCCAATCAGACCAATAGAAACGAAGATACCCCATAATGACCTTTTGGCATGCTCCGATGCGCACGGCACATACTGCATTCAACCCCATTTTTCATCCCCTTTCCAACGAGCCCTCGTACGTCATCGTACGTTAAGCCGTTTGGAACTTACGACCGGGGGTTGCGATTTTAGGGGTTGCAATTTAGGGGTTGGTCCAGGAAGTACATAGCCTATCTACTAAAAGATAATGAAAACATGTAAGGATGTTTCGAAAGAAAATTACTAAGGCGAATCTGTGGAGTAGTTAGTGAATGACAATGGAGTGTGGAGACGATACAACTTCGAACTTTATAGAAAATACCAAGAACCTGATATTGTAAAACATATTAAGATAAGAAGTCTGAGGTGAATAGGGCATGTAATGAGGCTGAGTAAATACCAATAACAAGGTTCTTTGATAACATCGATGAAGACATGAGAAATATGGGAATACGTGCTTAGCGGAGAAAGGCGAAGGATAGGGACAACTGGAGAGAAATTCTTGAGGAGGGTAGGACCAAAGCAGGGTTGTAAAGCCAGAATGATGATGTACTGTTCTGTAGTGTAGTATTGTGTAATAGTTTAGTTTCCCAAACACAACCTCATATAACTGTCACTGGAAAGTTTTCCTGTCCATGTCCTGTCCTGTCCTGTCCAAAATGTTTTGTTACTGTCATTAACATTTGCCTATTGTAAAGTCTTACAGATTGCAAGTTACATAATATCCCAAGTTAAATGGGATGTTTATTAAAAAAATAGATATTTCTGTTTATGAAAGATATACTAAATTATAAAACAAAAAAATACTTACATTTCTCTTTTGATTTCATCTTCTACTACTAAATCATACATTTGGCTATTGTTGGCTGAATAGTTAACAAGAAAAAGCGCGTTCTTACCTGAAAAAATAACACGTATGTATTTAATTATACATTTCACATTTTTAGTAAATTTAATTTAAAAATTGGCAAAACAGAAATTAGCATTACAGACGTAAAGTTTGTAAAGATCTTATAATCTAGTTCAAATTAGTTATTGGTATTTAGAATTGTATGATAATTGTATTGTATAATTAGAAATTGTAACTTTAACTTTAATACGGAGACTTTCAAGACTTTGGAGCTAAATAACTAAAGTCTTATTTAGGTTTATGCCTTATTAATATTTTTCCAACCGTCTGAAAGAACGATCCTTTTATACCAGTGCGAAATATAGCCAAACTAACTTATTTGACATCCTTTAAATATTCGTGAACTAATTTATAATAAAATTTACGCCATATTTCCTTTGATCTTATTACTCATAATATTCATTTTCTTGATATACCTATTCTGCACTTCTATATTTTAAATAGTTTTTGAGTCACTAGCATAGACCAGGATAGCACTAGGTCACTACAGTAAAACTACCTAATAGCGGAGAATAAAATGTCATGAAATTTTGGCCGTTTACAGAAGTGGCCGCTTTATAGGGGTTCAAAGTGATTCTTCCTCTTCGCGTGCCATATCAGAATTATCCGACGTTGGCGGTCACCATTGCGAAGGCTTCTCGATCTTCTGCAATATGGAATAATTGTCCTGCATTTGGTATCTGAGTCCATTCACGAATGTTTTTTAACCAAGAAACTTGTTTTCTTCCTACACTTCTACGACCCTCTATTTTGCCTTTAAGGATCAGTTGTAAAATTTTATATCGACTTCCCCTTACTATATGTCCCAGATAATACATTTTTCGATGTTTAACAGTCTTTAGCAGTTCTCTGTCTTTGTTGACGCTCCTTAGTACTTCTTCATTAGTTTTTCTTGCTGTCCAAGGTATCTTCAGCATTCGTCTATGAACTCACATTTCCAATGCTTCAATTTCAATTTTGTTCATGCTCGATACTTTTAGCGTCCACACTTCTGCACTATACAAAAGTACAGACCAAACATTGCACTTAACCATCCCTTTGCCTTAGTTCTAAACTGAGATGGTTATTGCAAAGAAATGACTTCATTTTCATAAAAGTAGTTTTAGTCATTGCTATTTTACGCTTTATTTCTGTCTGGATCTAGTTGGTCCGTTATCACAGTTCCCCATTTTGTGAACTTTTTCAACTTGGACTCCGTTCAATTGAAGCTTTGCATCGGGATGTGGGTCACAACTAAACAATAAAAATTTGGTTTTGTTTGAGTTTATTTATTTGAATGTTTATTTCCTCTCCTACCTCGTGAATACTACCAAGCAGAATTTGAAGACCTTCAATATTATCTGATAGAATTACTGTATCGTCTGCATATCTAATCACATTAAGTAGTTCCCCGTTGATTTTTATTCCATATGGTTGTCTCTCAAGTGCCTTTTTAAATAACTGGTCTGGGTAAACATTGAACAATGTTGGCGACAAAATGCAACCTTGTCTAACTCCTCGTTGTATCGGGATTTCATCGGTGTAGTTATGTCCAATTTTTACGATAGCAGTTTGATTCCAGTACAAATTTTTAATGACACGAATTTTCTTGTCATCTATTCCGATATTTTTCAGTATTTGCATTAATTTTACATGCTGTACTCTATCGAATGCCTTTTCGAAGTCCACGAAACATGCAAATGCATCTTTTCTTTGGTCACGGCATTTTTGTAATAGGATGTTAAGCACAAAAAGTGCCTCCCTGGTTCCCATAGCATTTCTAAAACCAAATTGGGTATCTTCAAGATCTTCTTCGCATTTGCGTCTAATTCTGTTGTGAAGTATTCTGAGGAAAATTTTAATAGTGTGGCTCATTAGGCTAATTAATCGATATTCTGAGCATTTTCTCGCATTGTGTTTTTTACGTATTGTGATAAAGATGGATTTGAGCCAATCTGCGGGAATCACTCCGGTATTATATATTGAATTGAAGTCTTATGTAAAAAAATTGATTATATAAAAAAATTATACATTATGTACTACGTATATACTTACACGTCCATACTTTCTGTATAGTATTATGATAATAAGTAAACATTATGCTTTGTGAAACTATTTTTCAATGTTAAGTCTGCTGCAAATTTATTATTTTGGTTTTGGTTTTGGTTTTGTCAGTTTTGTGACCTTATTCTCACATTAAAATGTGAGGAATATCGAAAAGAGAAAAACATTTCTTAATCTTGGTTTCACTCATATTCTTCAAATGCAATTAAGCACAGATTTGCTTCCCATTTCAGTAAATTCCTGAATTATATCCTGTGAAGACTTCCGAATCGATTGACTGATATTTTTCCAAATCTAGATTTTCTGGCACATCTTTAAGGGAGGGAATAACTGACAGTGGAACGACATTTATTTCTCTACACTCTTACAAAAATTTTTGATATCTTATTTTAAAATTTTGTATTATGCCAGTGGTTGGAGTTGCGATGATGGTTGGCAGATAGAAAAACTATTATAACATTTTTCAATTCTATTTTGGAAGGGATCTAGCGTTATCTAAGAACAGAGGAACGTTTCTACCTTGTTTTTTTTATTTTTAAGTTTTTCAGCCAAAGACCAATACTTTCTATTGTCATCCAGACTTTTCATAAGATGACCATGCTATTGACAATGTATCTACATGTGCTCTTTTGAAACGTCGTGGATTTTTGTGTTTTCTTATGACTATTTTCTTTTATTTCCATTATTCACATTAAAACAATAAGAAGTGACGCTCGTTGTTTAGCTGATTTTTTTCCGGAACATGTATCACTATTGAGGGAAGTTTTCTTTGGAATTGTCAAACAGTAAAGTTCGATTTCGTCAATAATAAAAATATCTTTAGCTTTAAGTCCTTAATAATTGATTCCAATTTAATTTTGGAGCTACATTTACTTTGTTAACTTCAGCAGTTAATTAATATTTTTATTTCTAGCTTTGCACACAAACTCCTCTTCAATAACAAATAGCAATAACAAAATCTTCTTTCTTTTTTTTTGTTCGTTTTTGATCTGCATTAACGCTTCCTGTAAAAAGTTTCTTATTTACATTTTATTTTTAAGAATGTCAATTACTTTGTTCTTTCAACACTAAAATTGTACGCAAACTTTTAAGTGCTAATACCGTATTTTTCGCTTGATCATTTACCATTTTTCTTTAAGAGACAGTTTTTTACGTTCCATAGACATATCGCTGCATTCTTGTTGCCACAAATTTAACAAAAACACACATAGGAAAATAAATAAATTATAGATCTTACCAATAGCCCAAGATAATGAAGAGACGCGAGTTCTGGGTGCGCAATTCGAAAAAGTGGGAACAGCTTGCCGGTTAATTGTGGGCAGTATTGTAACGTTGTGATATACATATGGAAAATGAGAAGAAAACGACAAGTTCTAAATAATCACACGAAAGAAGTGATGTATATCGTTTTAAAATTTACAAAAATTGATGAAATCAGAAAATGGATAATTGTTAATATACTTAGGGAAACTGCAGAAACGTGTTGAAGTGATGCAAGCACGGAAGGTCTTGGAAAACCTAATTCTAAGAGACAAAGGCTTATAATTGTTGGTGTTGGTGTTGAAAGGTGGAAATTACAAACAAAAGTGGAGACTATCACGACGAAATGAATTCAGAAAACCAAAGCGTTTGATAGAAAAAGTACTTGTACATTTGATACCATTCAATAGTTTTATCGTTGTTTACAACGCACCATATCACAACAAACAAGCGCAAAAACCTCCTACTTGAAGTAGTAAAATACAATACAAGAATTTGGTGGGTCAGGTACTTAGTTTATTGAGACTTTTAACAATATTTACATCAGAAAAGCAGTATGTTTAAGAAAAGATTGGAATAAAAGGCAATTAGGTTTTTTTTTTTCGGCAATTTCGGAATTTTTTTCATTTTCCAATATTGTTATTGATTCTATTCTTTTTTTCAGTGTAATTTGTTAATTGAAATTTATAAGTAAGTCCATAAAAACAATAATGAGTAATCAGAAATTTTCTTCTCATTATAAATAAAATAGTTATAATACACTCCGCCAAAAAAGTATCGCATCACTATGAAATTGCATGGAAAACCTATGAAATTTTGTATTAAAAATAATTTAAAACATGGATTTTTTACTGTTCTTTTGTTTTTGTTTCTTAAGTACCACCTTCACCACCTTCCATACTCAATATTTAACACGAAATTTTAAATTAAACGTAAACTGTTTAGTTTTTACAAAAGTAAAATAAAGGCTAATAATATAAAAACCAGACAAAATATCAATTAACATTTTTTTTTTTTCTTAAACAGTAAGATGTATTTACACATTTCTTTTTAATATTTATTCTAGCCTTAATATTCTTAAGGACCAAAAAGAAATAATTTAAATTAACCAAATGCTGTCAGAAATATTTGTAATTTTATAAGTGATGCGATACTTTTTTGGCGGAGTAAGTATCAAAATGGTCCGACAAGACTTGACAACAATGCTCTGAATTTTCTAAAGATGCTCATCTCTGCCTTGTATGTCTTTTCACTGGGCTAGCGTAAAAGTGTAATAAATTCAATAATTCTACTTGTATTTAATTCTTAAACTTAACTTTAGACCTGCCAACAAACAGTCTGATCGGAATTATAAAATCTTTCCTCGACATGATTATAAAAAAGTTAACAAGAAAGTTTTTGAGCGATATTGAGGGTGGAAATTCTAGGTAATTTTGAAACAATAATTTTGTGTAACAAAAATATTGGTATACAAAATTAACAAGTTATTTATCGTACTAGTTGTGTTTAAGAATAACTTGAAATCATAAGACTGATCGTTAAGAGAAGCGGCCACCATTGAAGAATGATCCAAATGAGTAGTTTTACTGTATTTATGTAGTTGAATTCCATATTTATCATATCGATACAATATATGAATATATGACTAAACGTAGTAGCTGTTATGTTGCAATTTCAATTTTATTTTTAGACTTCCCTTTCCATGTAATAACCCTTGCTTTTAAAATTGTAAAAATATTCAAAAATCATTGCTAATGAGCAGATTGATGTCCCGGAATTTACTATAACGGTATGTAATTTCGTATGTGTAATAATATTTGTAGATTGGACTGAAAGACTTTATCAATAATATGTAAAGCTGCTTACTAAAAATAGTAATACAAACTCCTGCCTCCTAGATACTTACACACAGCATTGGCCCTAGTTAAAAGCATATTCATCTTAATAATTGGCGAAAGGGGTTGGGGTTGTGCCTGCGAACCGGACTGGAAGAATTTCAGGAGAAACCTGTCACTATCCCTGTGGAGGATCATAACCGCTTCCTCTAGAAGTAATATATGAACTGGTACTATTGGTTTGTTAGGCCGCCTTAGCTGCATACTTCCTTCTAAAATTAATCTAAAAGAAAACAAAAAGTTTAGTTTATTTTTCAACAATATGTATAGTGTGTTTTCAGTTAATTGTTTTCGTATTAATAGACCCGAGGAACTACCAAATTAAACCATTTTTCGTGCCCCTTTTTGATAGAGGTATCTAACAACTGTTTTTAATAAATTTGGTGACAACAATACGTAATAAACAAAATATGCAAAAGCTTAAACGTCATTTTTTACTTAACAATTTACTAAAAAAGCATAAAAAACCTTCAACAGAAGTGTAAAGTTACTTGAGTTGATTTGTTGCTTAATTATTGCAAAACTGGCTTCAAAAGTCGATTTTTTTTAAATTATTAACAAGTTTTCTATAATTGCATAAAAAACTTTAATTTCTCGTGATAATAGGGACAATATGACATATATACAATTAAAAAAATTTGAAGAAATTTTATCCCAGAAAGCTTTTATCTACTATATACCCATTACGAGTAAACTAAAAATGTAACTTAGGTCCGTTAAATTAAAAAAGTGCTAAGGAGATTGCTGATTTGTGTAGTAGTCTAGTGAGCCGTAGCCCAAAGTTTCAAGACCACAGCAGATTTGCTTCTAGTTCCAGGAATAGCCAGTGATCACCAGCCATCGTGGTATACAATAGGACCACAGCAGATTTGCTTCGAGTTCAAGGAATAGCCAATGCTCACCAGCCATCGTGGTGTACAATATAACTGGTAGATATAACGATACTTTTTAATAAACATTTTAAAAGAGTTTTACATCCATAGACTCTCAATTTATCTCTTTTTTAGTTTAATATTTTTAATTTGGTATTTGTTGTTTTGGGATAATTAAACCTGTACTTAATTATCGTACTTATTTATTTATCGTCTGGCAATTACAACACATTTAGAACAAAATTACAAACACTAGTAATATAGGTATATGACAAACTTTAAATAATTACAAACAAACATCAAGTGTATTAACATAATCAATTGACTCTGAAGTTGCAAACAGGAAGTCTTCAGGGCTACCGTTGTAGGATCTTGAGGGACACTCTTCAATAATGTGGTCGATCGTTTGGTCCTTCCCACAGTCACATTGAGGAGACGGATTCTTTATCGTACTTAAAGGGTTAGATTATTATAATTATAATTATAATTTAATTATGTGGACTAATTATAATATTATAATTAGTCCACATTGGGACCGATCTATTTCTCAACAAATTCGAAGCCTTTTTCTTCAATTTGGTGCTTTTAGAATTCATATAGACCTAGTTTGCGCATAATAACGTTGTAGATAAAAGCTTTTTGGGATTAACAATTTCAATTTTGCAATAAATTAAGGGTCGTAAAAAATGGATGTTGTCCAAAGCTGGTTGAAGTTGGCAGATGTCAAACGTTTGGACAACGTCCATTTTTGCGAGCGGAGATCTGTAGGGTCCCTTAAAATTGAAATCCTGTAACATCGACGTAATGCCAGAATATTTTTAAAATTTAGTACTTTAAATATAATAAGGTAATTTGATCTCGTTATGTGGTTAGTTTCAACAACTATAAAGATTGTTTCACTGATGATGAGGACTGAAAACTTCTGAATCTTTGAATCCTTTTTGGATAATTCAAAAGTTTAAATAAACATATACCATTTTACACCAGAAGGTTTTACTTCGTTGAAAGTTTTATAGTAAATATATATGGCTCGAGATAGAGAAAGATACAGGACCGAAGGGGAGACCTATGTCGAATATTGGGATGTTTTAAGATGGATAGATAATGAATTAGATGTCTTTGGACTGTCACTTTCGTCGCGACATAGAGATACCAAACTTTGAAGATGCTAATATTTAAATTGCGAATTAATGTAAATAATTCTCAGAAAATCTTAATCAACTACTGTAAATGAGTATTTCTTGTACTGAATATCCAAGATTGGACACTTTTTCGTATTTACGTTAAATTCTGATAAAATATTAGGTAACGGATAGGATATGCAGAAAACAGGATAGCCTATTATATATGTTCCCATATATATTTTTAGTATAAATGTATAAATATAAAAAGAAAATAGTTTCAGAACCATAGGACTGGGCAAAAAACTGATTTCTACAAACACTTAAATTCATATAGTCACTAAAACACTAAAAAAAACAAAAAAAAAAGCAAATTACATGAAACACTAATATGAAATACATTTTTATATTTACATCACTATTATTTCAGACAGTCGACATATCGTGGCTTACTGTCAGAACCAGCCAACTCCATTTTTTTTTGTCGATTTTGAGGTAAGTACTCCTTTGAACTTAAAAATTCTCAAGGAATGTACTGATATGCAGTTGCCTATAAAATAATATTCTAGTTCCGTTGAAAACAGACAAATGCCAGTTATGTTATTTTCGCTGTACTATTCCGGTAGAAATGCAAAAATGTCATGTGTTGACTGTAGTTCATGACTGATGACATAAGTTCTCACGTAGTACGATATTGGACATAGATAAAATGTGTAGAGATGTATATTATCCTTCAGTAGATGTCTGAACTTGTCAGCGTTCTCATGTTTTCAATTTTAAACATAGATTTATTTTATGCTAGCGTTGGTGAACTTTTTATTAATTTATCTTCTTCAAGTGCCACCTCACCGACGGAGGTCGGCAATGACCTAACTATTCAGACTTTTAAGACGGCTGCTCTGAAAAGTTAATTTTTTATGTACATCCGTACCATTTTCTAAAGTTGCGCAGCCATGCTACTCTACGTCTTCCTATGCTTTTTACACAGCTACAACTGAACGGCGGTACTGCATTGCTTATGTATTTGGTGGAAACAAATCCTAATTTATCTGTGATAGAACAGAAATTTCTCAAGAATGTGAATAGGGGTAGATAGCATGCTATTGAAGAGGAGCAAAAGTGTGTTCAAGTTTACACCACATTTTCCATATGACAAGGACGTGTGATTTTAATAAGAAATCTTTGATTGTGAAATATCTCAAGGACTTTTAATTACTTTTCTGACTTAAAGGCGCTGTCAAAAGTAATAATTAATAATAGGACAAAAAATACAAATACTTAATGGAGAAAAAGTTATGTGGCTAAAAATAAAATGGTTGAAATATTAAAAATCCAAACCAGGCATTGTTTTGTAAACGTACGATCACAGTTCTGACTACAAAGAAATAAATATTTTTGGTACAGGTGGTCCTGTTGATCTCAGCGAAATATACTTAAAAAGGCATACCCAAACTTGGACTTATCAGTTTAAAAAAAAAACAGGATCTGTTCAGGATCAGACCAATCAGGAATCATCCCAGATCGTCACCCAGTATTATAAATCGACGGATATCGAGGACAGCATACCTGAGCCTGATATTGAGAACAGTGATGTGTAAAGTGATCTAAACGATGACTAACTTTGTACAGCCAAAACCAGACAAGTGCCGAGAAAATGTACACTTCATTTTAATAATTTTTTACAAAGTATTTTGTTTGCAATGTTATTTACTTTAATATTTTTCAGTTAATAAATCATTTTTAAATTCAGACTATTTTTCATTTCAAATTAAAGTTTAAAACATAGATGTTTCAAAAATTTAAAAACTAGAGTTAGCTGGTTTTGCCAATAAACCGAGGATATAAGCCTTTTCGGCTGTAGGATTTAAGATATCAAGTCCTCCCGTACCCACGTTTTCAAGCTTTTGTGTTTAATTTAATTCTTTACATCGACTTGGTCATTTAAAGTTTTCCTTGTTTATTTTTCAAACATACTAAATAGTAGAAACAGCAATAAATACAGAAACAAAAAAATCGATTTTAAAAAAAGAAAATCGTAGAGCTTTAATTTAAGAAATCTACTTGAATATTAGGTATTATAAAATATGTAAAGGCAAATGACGAATGAAATCATAAAATTCATATTAAATTTACCTAAATTTCGTTAAATCTAAAGTTCTAAATTCTTGTGCTATAGGTTGCTCAGATCTCTCGAATCCGCTGGTATCCAAATGTTTCTGTATTTCTTCCAGCCTGTGTTTGTTATGTGCTAGTTTGGCTGCTTCGTTGACCTGGTTCAAGATCTCTTTGGACATCTGATGAGCCTTTTTCAACATCGCTAGCTCCTCGAGTTGACTAAGCGCTTGATCGTTGTCTTTATTTGATTCCACGCTATGCATCAGCCTTTCGATAAGAAGGGGGTATTTGGTAAGCCTCTGCATTTCTGTAGGCAGAATTCCTTGGAAAGGTAACCGCCTAAAAATAAATAATGTATATTTAGTTAACATATTTACAACAATGGGAAAGGAGTTAAAGAGAGAATCGTGTAAAATTTTTCAACTCTTGAGATATTGGGTCCTAACGTTAATGTTTGTAAACTACTTAGTGATGTATGCCTCTGGTAATTATTATATTTATTTTAGCTAGTAGCTCCCTCCCTAGAAATGGCATTTTATCTGGTATGCTAAGACTATTTCTTAAAGAACTTTTAAGTAAAGGTATACAAACATTTTTAAGCAAACTCCAAAATTATATTTGTGGTGACAATATAAATGAAGATCCTGGTAATAAAGCATGACAAATACACTTCTTAAAGTTATCAAAGTTTATTCATAAACTATATTTCGGTCACTTTCACACAATATAGTCATGAAGTAACGTTCATTGTATGCATGTTTCTGAAAGTTTGTAACTGCAAAAAATTTATACCTCACAGTTTCTCTTTACTCTCTTGACCACTTTTACCTAAATGCCTTCCGGTTTTCATAACACTTTACACCAACTATTTAACTACCACATAATATCCAGAAAATTAGCAACGTGACAGTTTTAAGATCTAACATAAATACAGCTGAGCCGTATTTATGTAAGATAATACAAAAGAGCCGTTGGTTAAATGATGTGACTGAATTATTATACTTGACTACAAAAACGTGAATATCTCCAAGTAGTGTTTGTTCTTTAATGAGGATACTGAACATTTCTCATGTCATATTATGGGCGGTCTATCTAGTTATCTTTTGATTATGTTCTTCTATACGTCGCTAATTTTGGTACTATAATGGCATTGGTTTATTAAATGTAGGTTCTTTACTTATTTCACCATCCAACTATGTATGTGACATAGTTTTCGAATATTTTTATTGACTATTCGGTCATAGACTCACATTCCTCGATTCCTTAACATAGACGAGCATTTGTCTATTGCAGTTTAAAAAAAATGTCATCAGTTCTGTTAGTTTGACGTTTACCAAACTGCCACTAGTATACTACAATGTTCGTTCACAGGGGTATTTAAATAAAAAAATCATATTATTTTAAATTATGAAAAATAAATGTTCTATTACCTGCACTGCCTCTTCTTTTCACATTCCGTAAGCACAGCATCGAACTTGGAATCCCGCTCCCGTCTCTTCTTAATAAATTCTAGCGCCATCTGTTGCCTCTCACAGAAAGTTGCCGCGGCCTTCTTTAACGACTCTCCATATCGTTCACCGAACATGTTTGCTAATAGGCTTCCTACTTCTTTTACTATGGTGTCTTCCCTTCTCCTTTTTCTCATTTCCTTATTAAAATCTGTGTGGATATCGAGAATTTCTTTAATGTTTGGAAATATTAGATTTAGCTCGTCTGGTTTTAGGGTATGGCTCTCTTGGATTTTTTTGTAAAAGATCTTGTAAAGGACCTTCAGGTTTCTTACGTGCGAGCTTTCGGTATGGAAGAGTTCTAAAAATAAAAAAAATATATTATCTATCTATAACTCAGAATGTGCTGTGGGAAAATAGCAAATGAACAACTAAAGGAGGAAAGAAATTATTGGAGAATACCACAATTTTATAAAATTATATACATGGCATATTTTAAAACCTAAATTAAATCTTTCTGGTTTATTGGATATTCTCTCCATGTAAAGTTCTTCAACACCTTTAAGTAAAAGTTCCTCTATTTTTTGCAGTCTGGAACAGTTAACTGTATTCTTGATTCATATATAAATATATATATATATATATATATATATATATATATATATATATATATATATATATATATATATATATATATATATTGGAGTGGGAAAGAGTCTATTGAAAGCTTCTTCTATACCATGTACCCAGGTATGTAGTTTTGACAGTAATATTTTAAATTCCTTGTTGATGGTAATTTTTCCATTTCAAGTTTCAAATTTCAGGTAACTGTCGGTGACTGTCGAATATCGGCAACTCTTCTCGCAGACACTACAACCAGTATGACAACGTCGAATAGGCATGGTGGATGAAATACTACGTGAGTTGCTGAAGGATATACAGAGGGTAGTAGTATATCATCATAAAATGAGATTTCAGGGATGCTGGAAGGCATACCTTCTATATCTAGCTTTCCTTACATAAACCTGATGCGCAAACAATGAAACATGAATCAACATTTGCTGCTGGCAATCTAACTATCACCGGATCTTTCCAGAATTGCCAGTTTTATGTGAATTCTACTAAATAATTTTATATACTTATGTAGTTATAAAAATTAAATTCCATATTTTGTAACTTTAATATTAAAAGTTATCAATAAATGTTTTTTGTCTTTATGCCTAAGCGGGACATAAGGTGCAGCTGTAGTTCCTAGCAGCAATAAAAATACAATAATGAACTATTATGACAGTATGGCATAAAATAAATAGTCTATTTATAGAATTTTTCATAGAATAAATAGAGTAGAGTTTTTATTTTCACACAACGATAACCACATAACGGAAAAATTGGTAGTGGTGCTGAAGGAGAGAGGATACAGTCTCGGTACCAGAAACAACAGGGATATAGGACTTGTAGAATTCTGCATACAGAAAAACTTTTTATTATCCATACCTACTTCAAACAATATCCCAAAAGGCTATACACTTCGAAATTAATGTAAACAGAAAAGGAAGAAAGGTTAGCAATCAAATTGACTTCATTTTGCTGGATCACAACTTTAAGGAGATAAAATGAACTAAAATATGGAGCAGACATTCATAGTGAAAAATCCAGTTTTAATAGATTTTAAGTTAAAAAATTTCTGGAAGTTAAAAGAGAAAATGAGGCAAGAAAAATTGAGATCGCACAACTGAAGAAGCCTGAAAGGAAAAAAGAAATAACATTACAGACAAATTATGTACAGACATACGCTGAAGTAACATGGGACTGCTCTAACAATAAAAACAAAGATTCAAGAAAAAAACACCAATCCAAAGATGAGTGACACCTAATTCTAAACTCACTCAGAACACAAAAAGCTCTTTTTACCTTAAATGTGGTACGCAATGATGCAGTTACATTAATGTAGATAAATAATGCATGTTTTACAAATTATCGAAAAGCATTTGACTGTGTTAACCGTCAAAAGATGATCGAAATTCTGAGAATAATTATTGGGGTAGACGTTATAAGACTTATGATTAATCTCGCAACTATATTGGCATCAAACACCAACAATCGAAATAAAATAAGTACACAGCATCCAAATATATACGAATCCGACGAGGAATGCAAAGAGAAACAATACAATACTCGGGTCATGTGTTGAGAGGTGACAGATATGCATATGATAATGTGATCCGAATTACATTAGAAGGTAACGTAAAGGACAAAAGATCGAAGGAAGATGCCAGACCTCATGGCAGAAGTAACTGACGAGATGGTTTGACCGCTCATCAGGAGAAATCTTTCATGCAGCAGTTTCTAAATCTACAATTGCAGAAGAGTTCATTTTATAATTGTTTATTCGTAATAAAAAATTTAGTATTAGCTGCATTTGGTATTTACAAAATTTATATTTACATCTAAAAGTTGAAGAATTCAATATTTCTTTTTATTGTTTTTGCATGCTCATTTTGCTCAAAGCAGATGCGATTTGACATGACTTTTAACAGTTCTTAACCACGTTCCTACCGGGTCCTCGGTCTTCGTTTTGGTTTAGGGTCAGTTGGTTTAGTTGGTTGATAATAATAATGTAACTAATAACATATTATTATATATTATAATATATACATATTATTGGTTATATCATATTATTTATTAGACCTACAACAATTGATGAAGTTTCGTTGCGTAAGTTTCAAAAGGAAGCATTTAAGCAGTTGTGAGTAGTTTGATGTTTTTTGACACTTTTTGTTTATTTACTCAATGTAAAATCTCAAAGTTTTGATAAAACCACTAACAAACCATTTATTCTCAAAAAAATAGGGGATAATCAATTATTTTTTAAAGATCCAAAAAAAGGAAACTTACCATTTATCACATCATGTCTTTTTTTCTCATGTGGAGGAAGGTTTTTCAATTCTTCTTGATATCCTACATTTTGCCATTGTTCGGATTCGGCGTCAATATCACTGTCCGAATCCAAAGTTCCTCGTCTGGCGGAATCCTGAGTGACAGCATCCACGCTGTTACTTGGACTCTCTGAGAGGCGGCCACTAAACAAAAATTACTTTTAAATGCGTGTAATTAATTTTCCACTACAGTTCCATTGGAATATTTAGGATAACTGTTATATGGCTTTAGAACCAAGTTTGCAGTCAAGTATGCTATAAGTTTTGACTAATGATCCTCATAATTAAATATCACGATTATATAAAAAATATTTTATATACATTTTATATAAAAATAATAAATTTGTATTATTAAAAGGTCTTAAATATACAATAAAATTTATTCAAATTCATAAAAAAAGTATTTACTTAAATATTTTTTTAATACGGTTTTTTTTTTCAGTTTACAAAATAATGTGGTAAAAATGCTAATAAAAATTATGTTTAATACGAAGTATGACTTTTAAGTTCCTTTAAAGCAACTCAAGACCTATTAATCATAGTCAAATGCATATTGCCAATGTGTTTGTTGCCCACTTTACTATCAGAAGCTCCGGAGAACGAAACGCATTTTAAATGTTGATCACAGGTAGAGTAATAATTCTTCATCCAAACACGATCTGTACACGCTCGATTGGATTGAGATTTGTGGATTAGGCTGGACATGATAATACATCAATTTCCTCGTTGGTAAAATAGTTTGTTAGAATGAGTGCGGCATTAATACGGGTATTACTATGTACGCAGAGGAAAATTTGGACAAAAGATCCAGCAAATGGACAAAAAATAGGTTAAATAATAGTATTAACACGATCACTTCTGCTGTACACCATTATTATTCCCCGTCTAATTACTGTGCCACTTATGTATTCGTGCCACTTCCTGGACATGTCTCATAGGCACCATATTTTTACTAGAAGAGAGTCTGAATAAAATCCAAATCTGGATTTGGAAGTTTGGTAATTCTTGACCTCTGAAGTGAGCATCTGAGTGGTCTAGTATTGTGTAAATTTTATTAAATGATAGCCAGATAAATATGCAATGAGCTTGGGAAACTGTAAAAACCGGATCCTTGTTCTTAGTTGTTGCTTGTCCTTAGTTGTGGTGCAACTACTAGACCTAAGTTAAAATAGTTAAACCTCTAGGAATTCCGTTTTCGAGAAAATTCTTCAAAAATATCTCCGAGAATTGAACTAGATGAAAGGGGTTTGAGTCCAACGTTTTCGTTGAAGATTTACAATGATATTTCAAATTATTCGAATAGTAGTTTATATATGGCTAATGACTTGGATTTTTGTCTATTTATGTACAAATAATTCTTCGCTCTAGGAAAATATTTTTGACAAAGTCTGATCGGAGTAATTGTAGGCTACGTACGATGGAATAAGTACTATATAATATCAAGTACTTAGATTTAATACGTAAATATCAATTCTCGTTGTGGTTGGCCGGTGTTACACCGGAACTCCAATAGATGATGTATTGCGATAATGTATTTTGCGTTGGTAAAAATACTAAAAGTGAAGTAGGTTAGAGATTGAACATTGTAGATAATACGAAAATATTTTATATATTTTAGACAATTTATAGCACAGAAACGGCGATATTATTATCAAAGGCCATGCAGCAATCGTCAGTGTTAGTTTCTTGCAATAAGATGACTGGTAACGTAACTGAAAATCTTGTTTCAAAATAGTTATATGAAAAAAATGCTAACTTCATGTACGGTGGACTTGTTAAGAACTTTGCCAAACCCACCACCAATATAAAACAACTTATAATACAATCATAGAGAAAAAGGTAAAGAAAAAAATATTAGAATGTAATAAATATTGTTTAACTAAGCTACACGTACTGAGTTAAATCAAAAATACAGAATGAACACTTAAATTGCATATTATTATTTATTTATTTGTATGTAGTTAAACAGTTATACTAACTACTCTGTCTTTTATTGATTTGACATATTTAATGACCGGAAATAACGCGATATATTTTTAACAATTGACCTTTTTCCAATATGCTTAGCAATGCACAATGTAAAGTTATTGTTTGCATGATTTTAATTGTAGCAACAGCAAAGGAAAACTACAACTTGTAATTAATTATTTATACTGAATAACCGACTTATAATCATATCAAAATACATCAATACCGTTATTTAATAATAGTAATTATATTGATTTATGAAAGCTAATAATAACGTGATAATTATGTTCAACGTTCTTTAAAAAGTATACTTGGAAGATCAGTTTCGTACCAACAAGACGAAAGTAAAAAAAAACATTGATCAAAAGTGAAAGATAAATGAAAAATTAGTTTCTTAATAATGGGGCATCATCCTCAACAAACTCTATGAAAGTCAAATTTCCCCCAACCAGTTCGGGTTCACAAATTCTGTTGGTATTAGAGAGGCTTTGTTCTCAGTACAAGTCTTATTTCAGAGATGCAGAGACCTGAACTGCGACGTATACGCATGTTGATGACGAGAAAGCGTTTGATCGAGTACAGCACGCCAAGATGATGCAAATACTAAAGAAGCAGAAATTAACAACGAAGATCTGAAAATAATTAGAAATCTTTACTGGAATCAGACAGCAAATCTCAGGGTTGACGGTGAACGCACTGACTATGTGAAAATCATGCGTGGAGTGAGGCAAGGCTGTATTTTGTCTCCTCTAATCTTTAGTCTGTACTCTGAAAGAATATTTGTCGAAGCTTTGCACGAAACTGAAAAAGGTATTCTACTACATGGTTACCGGCTAAACAACATCAGATATGCAGATAACACCATGGTATTTGAGGACAACTTAGAAGACCTACAAGTTCTTATGAACAAAATCACGTATTACAGTCAACAATATGGACTCAATATAAACGTTAAGAAGAGAAAGCTTATGATAATTAGCAAGAAAAAGATAACAGAAGGTCAACTCTACGTCAACCAATATCCTGTAGAAAGAGTGATGCACTACAACTACCTCGGCACCATAATAAATGAAGAATGGACCAACAACCAGCAGATTAGAACACGCATCGCAAAAGATAAATCCACCTTCAATCGGATGGGGGCCTTCTTCAAGAGTCACAACCTCTCTCTAGATACAAAAGTAAAAATACTGCGATGCTACGTCTTCTCTGTCGTTTTTTATGGTGTTGAATCGTGGACCTTGAAAGAGATGTGCAAAAAACTGAAAGCATTTGAGATGTGGCTATATCGGAGAATACTTACGATCCCGGCGACTGACCAAGTCACAAATGAGGAGGTCCTCAGAAGAATGAATAGGAACCGAGAGGTACTGACCACCATTAAATCTCAAAAGTTACAATTCTTCGCACATATTATGCGTAATGAATCCAGAAATGCTCTCCTTCAAGCCATACTGCAAGGAAAAATATTTGGAAAGCGAGGTCCAGGAAGAAGAAGGACATCTTGGCTAAAGAACCTCAGAATCTGGTTCAATACAACATCTGTGCAGCTTTTCCGCGCTGTTGCAGATAAGATAAAGATTGCCATGATGATCGCCAACATTCGTAACCAATAGGCACATCAAGAAGAAGAAGAAAGCCAAGTTCTGAATGGGCGATATTCTTCTTCTTTGTGTTCATATGCTGTCTGTGATCTCTTGTGATATCCGATCACACCTCTTCCCTCTCCTCTATTATAACTGTAACTTTTCTCGTCGCATTTCTCTGTATCTATCTTGCTGTGCTATTCCTTTGATCATTCTTGTCAAAGAAGGCTTTTTGCGACTCCTTAGTAACAGAGTTGAGTTCGTTGAAAGAGATAAATTATTATTTATGAAAGCATTAATAAGTTTACAACTACAACTACTTTGTTGATATTGTGACAGACAACGCTACATATTAGTTTTTCTTCTGACTAGTTTTTTCCGCTCAAGATACATTCGATAGAATCGGCTTTACGGAGGTTATGCTAATTCCGAGATTATTATTAGTAAGAAGTTTATTGATTAATAGATCTTTTAAGCTTTCCGAAAATGTTCATGCTTATATTCCTTGTATTTTCTTTTTCTTCGGTTTTTTTAGCATTATGAGTTTGCTCTTTTCGTTTGCCACAGCGCCCTATTTTCCCAGTCGCCTTCTCTAAGGATTCTATCTTTAATAGCATTTCCTATGTATGTTTTCCATCTTGTAGCAGATCTTCCTTTCCTTCTTCTCCCGGCGGGTTCCAGTGCCATATTCTTTTCGGCCACCTGTGCTCTGGTATTCTTTGTACATGCCCGTACCACTGCAGGGCACTTTTTGTCTTCTTCTTCTTCTATCTCTTTATAAGCAATTCTGCCTGTTCATTGGCGGATTAATACCTCTGTGGAAGGTTGCCACTCCATGTTTTGTCTATAGCCAGGTTAGCACGCTACTGATTTTAAAACTCTTACAGCTCTTAGAAACCTCTTTTTGTAATTGAGCATTCTACTTCCAGTCTGTTCCATATTTCCTCTTTTCTTATTCTATCTGCTGTTGAGATTTGTCGACATCTTCTCACTAAGTCCAGCTCAACTGTTCTTATTTTATATCGTGTTAATGTTGTCATTGGCCATACTTCCGCTAAATATAGGGTAATATTGATCACTATGCTCTGAAAGATCCATTTTTTGTTTTCTTTGATTAGAGTGTTGTTCTATACCACCTCATGGAGTGCTTCTCGGATTATCATTGACCCTAAATACTTAAAAGTCTTACAACTCTTGATAGTCTCTTCATCTAAGCGTAAGTTCAAATCTGCAACCTCGGCTCCAGTACATAAGTACTGGTGTCTTTATTCTATTTTGGATAATCATCCACTCCTACTAGATAAGTTTGATCCAATACAATTCAACGTCATTATACATTTTATGATCTACTCTATCTGCACCTTCCAACTATTCTGCTACACTCAGGTAGTAAGCGTTACAAATCATATTTACTATTATTTATCAATGTTTCGAATATTAAACTATATTTTTATAAACGCTGAAGAGAACTGTATCGCAACCTCCCGGGCAGCGAGGCATATTTTTAAAGGCGTATATAAGCCTGCATTGGCTTACGCAACGATTTAAAAAAGCCGAATATTGTGAAAGTTTTTATATTGACCAGATGAAAGTGATTTTGCAACGAACAGATACTGTACGAATGTAGTATTTATGTTTACAATATGGTTCAAGCAAAAAAATTGTAAATACAGTGCAATATGTAGGTCGCCGACGAAGAATGGGTAATAATTAATATTTCCTTTTGATTTTCGTCTGATATACACAGACGATTACAATTTGGGTCGATAATTTTGTAAACCGTTAATGAAAATGAGATCATAAAAGGCATTGTTGGAGAATATTTCATATTATAAATAAAACTTCAACGAATTCTACAGATCTAACAATTATGTGTGTATTATGTTAACAAAAAAACGATGTTTTGTTTACATAAAAAAACTAACTTAAATCTTGTTATAGTTTAAGCATCTAAAACGTATAGAGTCTAAGCTTACTTGACTGGCAAAGTTGATCATTTCTGTTACGTTCTGAATTTTCACTGCATGGTTAATGACATTGTATTAACCTAAATACGACAAATGAAATGTCAAAGAGTTTTAAAAAGCATTAGCAACTTACTTGCAGGATATACTGGAATTGGAGGAACTCCCTGATTCTGTGTGGGATAAAGCTGTGGATCTTTCCAAATCAACATCGCCACTATAAAAAATAGAACTACGCAATTTTACAGGAACTACTTAAAAAGGGTGTAAAAGGTACATATACTACGTATGAGTGAGTTTGCTTCAATAAATAAGTCATTACATAAACGTCTACTTACCTAAAAAATAAAGTGGTATCACTTTTGCGAAAAAAATACTTTATTAATATGGCAAATGTGCTGTCCAAAATATAGAAGCATTTGATCCCAAATAATCCAAGTCTATGGTCTTTTATTTCAAGGAGCAGACCAAATTAACATGGTCTCTTGCTACAATTATTAGAAAACTACATAATATAATTAATCAATGTTGGTTCAAATAAAAATACCTGGAACGTGGCAAAGAGCACAAAATATATCACGGTTTAAAATTTTTGATAACGCATAATCAAAAAACTGTTCCTAGCAATGATAATAGTAATGTTACCGACTTAAACAAATAGTATATATCCTTACCATGCATTAATGGATTCCCCGACCAAATGTCGAAAATGTTGGCAACGTATGTTGAGACTTAAATTGTCAAAACCATCCGGAACATGTTTTCCAAAATTGAAACCTTTTGTTACTAAAGGTCAGCAGTCGGATGTTGTTTATAAAGTAAATTGTTTGTAAAAACTACAATTCAACATATATTGGGCACACACCAATATCTACATAGACGGTTGTTGCACATAAAAAGTGTGCAAACCAACAAACTAAACAATATTATCTCAGTACTCTCCCGAAAGTAACTGTTCTTTCGATTTTGAAAATGTTACAGATTATAAAAAGAATGAAACTACAACAAAAGACGTGTATTGGAGATGATTCACATAAAAAAAACATTAAAATTGCAACAATAATAAGACCGATATTAAAGATCTCTCCAATATATATAAATCGCAAACTGCAGAAAGCAACAAGTCCAATTTTGCCAATTTTTCAGGAGAGACAATAAACTTGGTAAACTCAACGACACTACTGGTATTAATTTTTTTGCATTTAGTGAGTGCAAGTGATTGGGCATTCTGGACTACTACATACTTATAAAATATTTAAATATTTTAAGAGGAGAGGGTACAGATTTTTTTTTGTTTTTGTTTCTACGGAAAGAAAAGAAGTTCTAAGAAAAACAATCAATATACAAACATAATATTTTATGAGAATTAATTTTAATGAAATAAAACAATGTCCTACACATGAAATAAAGCAATTAAATTATAAATTAAAACTTGGAAGTAAATTTTAGTTCAAGTTTTTAGTTTTAATAAATTCCGGTGTAATTGGCCATGACAAAATCTCAATGAAATCATCAGCAGTCATTTTAATAACAGAAAATGTGCCGTCAATTTTTTAATGATTTTATAAATTATGTATTATATATATATATATATATATATATATATATATATATATATATATATAAATATATGTATTAAAGCTTTAATACATCTATATATATATATATATATATATAACCAATTCGCTAAGGATTTTTGCTTAGTTGAGGAGATAGTCGTCGAATGCAAATTTTAGATTCCCCATGTCTCTAATAACATCTTTATCAACGTATGTTTTGCCTTGCAATTCTTAAAAGGCACAGATTAAAGCAAAAATCTGAATTTGGTTTCGAAAATTAGTTTACGGATTTTAATATCAGATGTCGCTATTTGCGTCCATTCGAAGCCATGTTAGAGTTGCTTCCTAAGACAGAAGAGATTTATTTTCACGTTCAGAGCGGCTATAAATTGTCGTTCTGAAGAGGCCTATTAGGCCGAAATACGCATAAGCGGATACATAAACGCACTATACGTGAAATAAAATCTGAACTGTCTTTTCCTTTTTAAATATTGTAAACTTACAACTTTCGAGATTATATGTTTAAAATTATCTCTTGAAAAATCTCATTGCGTTGGTTACGTACACATTATTTTTTATTTATGGACGGCAAAGCGGAAATATTACCGCGTTAAATACTGTTTTCACTATGTACCAATTAATTTGGATTTTGACGCATAATTCATTTTCCGTGTGGGCCAGTGGCGTAAAGTGTAAAAATATCTTGTGATTTTTATGTCGTTAGCTACGAAAATATCTTTTGTTTACTATTTGCTGGTAATGGTAATGCTGTTTACCATAGAAAATTTGTATGTTTTTTTTTTCAGTTCTCTGGATAACTACAGCTCAAAACTTACAATAGTGCGTAATATTTTATGTATGTTACTCTTAAAAGTTAACTTTTAAGATGTAGATTTTATTATAAAAGAAGATAGACAATACCAATACTAATATTTGTTTTCGCTCGTTAATATTCGCTTTACGATAGAAATATATGACAAACAACAATAGAAACTTGCAAAAAGTTGTGATCGATAAAAAATGAACACAACAAATATGTATCAACTTACAATATGTCAGAATGGAGTAATTTAGTGTACCCAACTTTGCAAAAAAAAGTGGTACAGTAGGCGATACGACTAGCGCGAAGCTTTATATTTGCGCAAAGGTTCACACTGTTTTCTGTATTTTTAAATTTTAAATAATATTTTTAAAATTCAATAAAGTAATTTTAGAATTTTTTTATTTAAAATTTTTTTTTACAATCATCGAATTCCAAAGTTTATTTGTTTATTTCAACAATTTTTTTGTACATTCGAAAGTAGATAAAACCGCTGTCAGTTGATCCCTCCTGAAAACCTCCTTGTTTAAGATTTTACTAAAATTGAAAAAGTTTACATGTTGTATAAGTGGCGCCTCTCGTCGAGTACGAGGATAGATTGATATTAAACTAGCCTTTGATGGCGCTACTTGATTCCGAATTGGTTTCGGTGTTTACATTTGCCATTCATGACATGACGTCTGTCAAAATTTTAAGTTTTAAAAACAATTTGTTTGGTTTTTCCAGCCGTCAAAAGCAAGCAAATTTCGTGTTTTCGGAGAAATGGAAAAAGTCGAGTATCGTTAGGTGATTAAGTTCCTCCACAAAAAGGGTAAAACGAATGTTCAAATCAAAGCCGACCTGGACGAAGTTTATGGTGAGGTTGCACCTTCGTTAGCAACAGTAAAATTTTGGAAAGCTGAATTTGTTCGTGGTCGTACGAGTGTTTTTGATGATGAGCGTCCCGGGAGGCCAAATGACTTCACCACGCCAGAAATGATCAACAAAGTCCATGACATGATTATGGAAAATCGTCGAATTAAGCCCCGTGAGTAAATAGAGGTCATAAACATTTTCTACGTAGGCGTACACAACATCATTCACCATCATTTGAACATGAAAAAGCTATCCGCGCGATGGGTGCCGCATTTGCTGACAATCGATCAAATGCAAAAACGTGTGATCACTTCGGAGACGTTTTTGGCGATAATACGGCACGATCCGAAGGATTTTTTTCGCAGATTTATCACCGTTGATCAAACCTGGCTGCATTATTATACACCGAAAACCAAAGAACAGTCGAAACAGTGGCGCAAACGCGGCGAAGAGCCGCCGAAGAAGGTAAAGAGTGCACATTCGACCGGCAAAGTGATGGCGACTGTTTTCTAAGATGCGAAGGTCATAATCTACATCGACGACTTGGAAAAAGAAAAAAACAATCAATGGTAAGTACTAAGCAGCATTATTGGATCGATTCGATGCCGAATTGCGTCGAAAACGCCACGGTTTGGAACGCAAAAAAGTACTCTTTCACCAAGACAATGCACCGGCTCACCGATCGGCCGTCGCCATGTCAAAATTACACGAATTGGGCTATGAATTGGTTGAACACCCACCGTATTCCCCAGATCTTGCCGCCAGCGATTTTTTCCTGTTTCCAAATCTAAAAAAAATGGCTCGGAGGACGCCGTTTCGCAACAAATGATGAAGTCGTCGCTAAAACTTCGGCCTATTTTGAAGAGCTCGAACAAAAGTACTATTCGTATGGGATAAAAAAATGGAACATCGTCTTACTAAGTGTATCGAGCTAAAAGAGTACTATATTAAAAAATAAATCGATTTAATTCCAAAAAACTTTTTTTTCTATCAAAGGCTACTTTAATTTCAATCCACCCTCGTAAATGTAGATTTCCAGCGCTACTTTCGTTACGCTCGTTCACAAAGGGTAAACACAGTGACTCGTTCCGAGAAATATTCTGATTAAAACAAAGATGAATTTCTGGGATGTCCAGTCTAACAGTTGAAAACGATGAAAAAATGATCGAATAAGCAACACAACAGTAATATAAGAAAGTTCATCAAAAAATGTCCTACTGATTGAAATAATAAAATATTTTACCAAGTGACAAAAATGAAGAACGACTTTACATATTCATATATTCAAAATTTGTTGATAAAAAAATATCATTAATTTATGAGAGTCAAAATGTTAAAGAAAGTGCTAGAAATAACTGAAAATGACATAGATGTGTAATATAGACAACACATAAACGTTAAAATATTATTTAGGATTCATCAAAAGTTAAAGTTTTACAATATACACTTCGAGGAAAAGGAATGAAACTTAGGAAAAATTCAAGGAAAGCAGGGGAAAAATCTAGGATAGATCAACGTATTTCGAACTATTAGCTAAAGGAAGATTTTCTCGTGTGATTGCTGTATTTGTAGATTTCTTCTATTTTTAAAGATTCTTTTTAGAGATTCCCTACATGGATTTTTCGTTTCATGATATGAGAAACTGTATCAGTCACCTCCAATTAATACCATTACATATTTGGCTTTCTTACTAATACGTATATTCTTTTATTTTATAGTATCTTTATGTAAATGTTGGTTGCGCCTCTGACTGCTAAATGTCGTTCATTTCCACATTGTAGCAATTAATTTGGATTTTTGACGCACCATTCATTATAATTATACCAAGTACTTTAAAGTTTATTTCGGGTTCAATTTAATCTTCTTGTTGACTTTCTTAGCTCTTGCCTGTATTTATCTTGTGCTAAATACCGCGTTTTGATTAATAACCGAAACTTGTTACTCTGGCGAATGTAGTAGCTAAAATATTTGTATAATAATAATAATAATAATAAATAG